GAAGATACTAAACATGTTCTCTACCTAAAAAATAAGTACACATTAGGATTTTTATTTTGTCATTTTAATCTGTGAAACTTACAATTTAATTATAAACTTCAACTTATAAGTATGATTCAATGCCTACCTTCTGCTTTTGGAATGGCAGGGTATATCATGTTTAAGGCTGTTTTCTTCAATTTGCAATGTATGATTGAAGGATCCATCTAACTCCTGCACTGTCACTTTAAGTGGTCCCTTTAAATTAAAGAAACATAATGTTCATACATAGTGCTAGAAAATTACCAATATGTACTCTTTCATGTGTAGGTACATGTATCAAAATATAAAATAATACTATCCAAGATGTGTATCTGAAGACCAAGAAAAGCAATTAGTGCCAGAGGGGAGAATTTGTATCCCCTGAAATCTCCATTTGTAATCTGTCTTCCATTCAGCAACACTTGGTTTTTGCTCAATTTCATTCTTTGTAAACAAAATCACATTATGAAACTTCGAATCAGATCCCCACTCAAAAGTCCTTCCTATATTGTAACTGGGGAGAAAGTAATACAGAAGCTCATTTTAGAAAAAAAACTTACCACATATTTCTGAGTTCCAGGTGATGTATAATCTTGTTTTATTTCCAATTCCAAGACATTTCGTTTTCTATTAAATGCAAAACTTCCATAAAATTTTACCACTCCACTCTGGTCTCTGAAGAATTGTAAAGGAATTTTTGCATACTAAAATGAATATGTACTAAACAAATTATTCACTGTGGTAATAATAATTTTCAAATGCATTACCACCAGTTCAAAGCTTGAGAGCATGCTTCATTGTAAAGCAGGTGGTAAAGTATTCAGAATTCTTGTGGAAAATGTTTCCCCAGATTTAAACAGAATTTCTGAAACATTAAGAAATTTGTTTTTTGAAAGAAGTAAAACCACTCTACTGGGTTGCTAATAAAATCAATGAGAAAATGTAAAAACTAAAAAGTTCCAAGATACTACTCAAGTTGTGCCAACTTCTAACCACATCCATAAGTCACCAGAACATTGCATCTTACAAGTAACTGTAGAGGCCTGTCTGAATTATTTACCTCCCCTACCATCAAGCCTGTTGCTGTACTCACACTAAAAACTACTTCAAAATAAACCAAATTTTACAAATAGTACAGATGTGTGTATGAGAGAGAGAGAAAGAGAGAAAGAGAAAGAGAGAGAGAGAGAGAGGTATGATTTATAGTTCTTGGTTATTTTTACTATTCTTTAGAAATATAGTTTTTATCTCTCCTTTCATCCCCCAAATCCCTCTTCTTCCTCCCTCCCCTCACACATACAATCTTCTCCCCCTGCCCCCACCACCACTTGTTGAACTGCTATTTAAAAGGATACACCCACTGCTTTATTAAAGGTTGAATGTCTTTGCCAGAGACATTCGAGATGGATTTCAAAAACCCAAATGTGGAAACCAACATTTGACTCCACATATGGGACTGGAACTTCTGAGATGAAGCAGTACTAGCCAAACTTAGCAGTTTATTGAAAACCTGTAAGGATAAAAGTATCATTTAGTAACATAATATACATCGCTTTCAATTATCTACGAAACCACTTTGCAACAGAACTTTATTACAGTCAATTATATAAGACAGTAATTTCACATCTTACTCTATAAATTATTCTAGTTAAAGACTATCAATAGAAGTTATGCAAAGAATTAAACAGCCAGAATAAAAACCATTTTTCTTTTAAATAAAATTGAATTTTAATGTCTTGGCCAACACTGAATATTGTTTTTAAGATTTATAATAATATATAATATCTATAATTTGTTATGCTATGAGCTTTACATAGAAACTAAACATTACTTAAGAAGTTGAGAACACTCAATAGGTTTTATAATACTCCAAAAAGCTAAATGGCTCTTGATGGACCACCTTTCATTTAATACCTGTGTTCTTTACTCTAAAGGCAAGCTGAAGAACAGAAGCATTAAAGAAACTTAATTTTAGGGCAAACTTTAAAAGTTTTTTTAAAAAGATTACTAAAAAGTTATTTTTTACTTACCTCTAAGAATGTTATTAGTGAGGAAAAAATACATTTTTTTCCTCATTATAATACATCTGGTTTCTACTTCCTCAACTACTATCTATCTATATAATAGAGGAATATGCAAATTATCCTGGATGCCGTAATATCACGACCGGACAGCAGGGACCTGAGGCTTTATGGCACCTGGCCAGGGTGAGGGACCTCAGGCTGTGCCCCTTGCCCGGCGGGGCTTGACGGGGGACCTCAGGCCGCACCCCCACCCCAGCACCAGGCCGGGAAACCTCAGGCCGTGGGGCTTATACAAAACCATATGTATAAATTGGTTTTACTTTCATCCTCACATTCTAATTTTATCTTCACAATAATCCTGCACTAAGTGTCAAGTATTGATACCCATTCTATACTGAGGAAACACAAACAAAAAGCATAGGTATAAGTGGGCTAACAGCTAACAACTAATAGAACTCCACTTCATAAACCCAGATATCCTGACCCTATTTACAGAATAGTATTCATATTATAGCTATACAGATCTTTCTTTATAATTGGTCAATTCTTAAGTTTAATACTTACTTGTAGCATAAATTCCATACTGATCCTATTTTCAATCAATCTCATTACAAGGTGAGCTTTACACTGGAACATAGTGTAGTACTCCCAAGACAGCGTATGTGGATGCTTTATTGAAAAGTATAGATGGGATGCCGGACTAAACAAATAAACAGATTTACTTAACATAACAATTTTAAATATTTAGTAAACAGTACATTTCATGGCCACATCAAGACAATAAATATAAAACTTCTTGGGAATACCTTAGTATGAGAGCAACAAAGACTAGGATACATACACTCACAAAAAAATTTTAAGCCCGGCCTGTGTGGCTCATGGTTGAGTGTCCACCTATGATCCATGAGCTAAGGGTTTGATTCCTGGTCAGGGCACATGCCCGGGTATGGGCTCAATCCCATGCAGGAGGCAGCCAATCAATGATTCTCTCTCATCATTGATGTTTCTGTCTCTCTTTCCTTCTCCCTTCCTCTCTGAAATCAATAAAAAATATTTTTAAAAATTCAAGATGAACTGCATATCTAAAACAAAAACAATTATAAAAGTACTAAAATAAAATAAAGGAAAACATTTATTTCCATAATTTAGGGGTGGAAAAAATCATATATATATCAAATATATATATATTTACTGATTTCAGAGAGGAAGTGAGAGATAGAAACATCAATGATGACAGAAAATTATTGATCAGCTGCCTCCTGCACACCCCACACGGGATCAAGCCTACAAACCAGTAAATGCCCTGACCAGGAATCGAACCGTGACCTCCTGGTTCATAGGTTGATGCTCAACCACTGAGCCATGCCAGCCAGGTGGGAAAAATCTTCCAAAAGAAAAATATAAAATCCAGAGGACAGTAAGACCAGATTGACTAAGTGAAAATTTAAGAGATCAGGAGTAAATTAAAAGAAAGGTACAGTCTAGTAGAATTATTGAATACAATTTTGTAAATGTCATATATACATAAATAAAGGCAAAAAAAATAAAAGTTTCAAATATATTTGAAAGAAAATATAGCAAATTTATAATCGTGGTTATATTTCCACGGAGAGGTTTTGTAGGAGTGAGGGGTGATAAAAAAAAGGGGGGGCTAAAAAGGATCTTTATGTTTTACTCCACACACTTTTACACTGTCCTGTTTTATATTTCTTAAAAGAGAATGTATTCATGTGCTGCTTTTATATACAAATTTTTAAAATTAAACATACAACAAGAACTAAATAAATGGGCAAAACCAAGGTATTTTCACACAGTGGGAATGCTCTAATTATATACTGGGAAACAGCCATATGGCAGGCAGCCAAGAGAAGAAAGTCAAAGACTTAATGAGTGAATGTGCACTATGTATGTATTTATCTCAAATAATTTCACAACCAACCTGGTTAAGATAGATTATGAATCATCACTGTCACTTTACACATTAAAACACACACACACTTTCTCTGGAACAATATGCAAAATTTTCTTAGATCACCAACAATGATAAAAAAGAAAATCCAAGTTTGTCTTACTTCAAAATTTCTATGCTTTTCCACTGACCTAATCTTGTCTCAGTGACCATAACAAAAAAGGGCTCCTGGTTATACAATTTCAAGTTTCTTAACTTTTGTTGTGTTTTCAGGCACTTGGGCAGTTCGGTTAATTCTATGGGCCCCATATAAGAAACGAGTTCAAAATGCACAAAATAAAATTTACAGAATTATAAAGAAAACCAATTATAGTGAAATGATCAAAATATAAAAAATTATGATATACCAATATGTGAGTGAGCTTATCAATGCATTAAATAATAAGATCTAGCAGTGGTCTACTCTAGTAATTTTGAGTTATAAGTGCAAAGAATATCTCAAATTAGCAGCTATTATAATGTGACAGGAAAATATCTTGTAGGCAAAGTCACATAATTGTCTGTTGCCTACATTCATAATTAAAGAAAATGTAAAATTTCACTTTATGGTTAGTGAAAATATTTAAAAATTCCCATCCAATTCAATTCAAATAATTATTAGTGTTTCCATTATTTTAAAACTTCTACGAAAACAGTATGCTATAGCCCAAACTGGTTTGGCTCCGTGGATAGAGTGTCGGCCTGCGGACTGAGGGGTCCCGGGTTCGATTCCGGTCAAGGGCATGTACCTTGGTTGCGGGCACGTCCTCAGTGGGGAGTGTGCAGGAGGCAGCTGAATTGATGTTTCTCTCTCATCCATGTTTCTAGCTCTCTATCCCTCTCCCTTTCTCTCTGTAAAAAATCAATAAAATATATTAAAAAAAAAAAAAAGAAAGCAGTATGCTATAGTAGCAGTAGAAAATTAACATGGAAAAAAAGAAAAGCATTACATTTTTAAGTCTGTTTTAAATGTTTAAATCCATTTGTAGCCATCATATGTAATAAAAATAGTAATGAAAAGAGTAATGTGGTTACCAGGGTTTGTGGCCTCAATATTATTACCTGTTAATATTACCCTTTGGTCTGTGTGGGCCTAAACACCCATACAAATGATCCTTAAAGAGTGATCCCATAAAAGAAGTTTTATAATATCATATCTGAACAATAAACATACTTATCCTTCTCTTTTCCTCCACCAAATATGGGATGTAGTAAAACTCCACCAGTTTTCAGCTCATACGCCACGATTTTGTCCAGCTCCTAAAAAAAAATATGAAAATCGGAGCCAGTGAAAATTTTTTTACATATAAATTTAAAATTGAACTGTGATTTCTCATTTCCTAGAATTAGAATGTAAATTTCTTAAATAAATTAAATGAATTTGAAAAGTAATTTATGTTCTTATAAAAAAAGCAAATTATACCGCTGGCTAAAAGACAGCACCTAAAAGCCTTGTCTACTTTGTGACTTTAGAGCTGGCCAGTATCCTGGTAACTTTCCTAATGGCTCTTCCCAACCTTTCTAGCTGGTTTTCCAAGCTTACGTTTTCTTTCTCTGTATTTGGCTTTGATGGAGAATTTAGGAAAGTAAAAACAAATGGGGATAAAATGACGTCAGGAATCAACACTTTAAAACTCCTTGTCTTCTCCAATATGACATACATCAAAGTAAAAAAATAAAAGCTTAAGTGAAAAAAGGACAACATAACTGTGCTAGCAATTCATAACTAGTTAAATAATATACAAGCAGAATAGAGAAGTGGTAAAAATCATAATGAAATGGTTAAAAGCCAGGTCTAAATCCTGGCTCTACTACTTACTAGCTGTGTAACTTTGGCCAAATAACTTAACCTCTCTGTGCCTCAGTTTCCTCATTTATAAAATGGGGATAATAACATAGTTAGGAAGATTAAGATGGTTAACATTTATAAAATGCTTATAACTGTGCCCAAAACATGGTAAGTGCTGCATGTCATTTCCCCTTCATTAGTTTCTGAAATGAAGAAAGGACTCTTCAGTTCTAGATGCAGGAATTATTCTATAGTTCTAAATGTCTGAAATCTTTTACAATTACCTTTTGGCTTACTTAAGTTCTAGTTGGGGTGATGAAAATAGATAAAATGAGAAAAGGGGGGAAATGAAGGGCTCTATTTAATAAGGATATTAAAGGCTAATCTTCTTCCACCTTAGAAGAAATAAGCTAAGCATGATATGATTTAAATGTATATTTACATGAATGTGCTAGGCAAAATACTAGTACAGTTGATTTTTGTCTTTTGGGTCAAATCTAAATTATAGAAAAAAGACTAACAATGACAGGAGCATAAATGCACTGAAGGGCTAGCCAGCATATAATAAGCACTTACTACGTACAAGGCACCATGCATATTACATGTATGATGTCTCATATTCCCCATCCATGGGGTAGATACTAATACTATTCTCCTTATAGAGATGAGGCTTGGAAAGATTAACCAAAGTAACAAAGCTTGTAAATGTATGAGGCCAACTGCAAAGCAATCTGACTCCAGAACCTGGACTCTAAGTCTAAACAAATTTAGGAAGCAGCGAGATACATTAAAAATGACTACTATGAGAATTTGGAATATATCTGATAACTAACTTGATGTTTAAGGAGCTTAAATATTCTCTTCCTTAGGAAAAAAAGTCTTTAGAGGCCAACACTGATAATGGAAATGGGATAAAATAGACCATTAGTCTTTCCCATTATAGTCATTCTCAGTTTACTGGAAGAAAATTAGAGACTTTTGAATGACAATAAGTATTTTACAATTATTTTTCTAAAAATGGAAATGTGGCCCTAACTGGTTTGGCTCATTGGATAGAGCGTAAGCCTGTGGACTCAGGAGTCCGAGGTTCGATTCCCGTCAGGGGCATATACCTTGGTTTTGGGCACATCCCCAGTGGGGAGTGTGCAGGAGGCAGCTGATCGATGTTTCTAACTCTCTATCCCTCTCCCTTCCTCTCTGTAAAAAATCAATAAAATATATTTTAAAAAATAAAAATGGAAATGTGTCTGGCCAGTGTGGCTCAACGGTTGAGCACTGACCCATGCACCAGGAGGTCGCCGATTCCTGGTCAGAGCACATGCCTAGGTTGTGGGCTCAATCCCCAGCAGGGGATGTACAGGATGTTTCTCTCATCCATATTTCTTTATCGGTCTCCAACTCCCTTTCTTTTTCTCTAAAATCAATAAAAATAAAATAAAATAAAAAATAAAGGACATGCAACTTTGAAATCGGGAAAACATGCCTTACTGACTTCTAAGTGGATAATGGATCTAGGTATTTTTACCTCTTTAATCCAATGGCGGTATTCATTAACTCCAAAAGTTTTTTTCATCCAAAGTCCATAAATATAGCCTGAAATTCCCTTCAGTACCCATTCATCAGACCTAAGCAAAAAGTAAAAATATGAACTTTTAATCATAGAAATTCTTCAGATAAAACAGAAGATTACAGGTATAGTGTTTACTTCTCTGCCTTCTTAAAGAAAATGAAAGTTATTAATAAATTATTTGTTTTTTTCCACTGCCAGCTGAGTTCTACTTGACCATTCCTTGTGCCTTTTCATATCTGGCTTCACCTTTAACTGCAGGACTGCTGCACAGTCTTAGTTCAAGTACAATGTGCCTATGTGTGTTCTCTGGCAGTGCTGCTCCCTCTCGCCCAACTCTGTCCACACAGTCAGCCTCTAAAATAACAGCCGCATTCAGTTATTAGCAACCCATGCATAATTATCGATGGGATTCCAAGACCTGAAGTTTAATTACTTAATTTTTTAGTTTCTCAAGAGGAAAGGCAATTGATATCATTCATTCATTCATTTGTTCATTCAAACATTTGGTTTACCATGTTCCAGGCCCTATTCTTTAGTGAAACTATGTAATTTAAGAAAGTCAAGAGGCTTTACCCTCTGCCCTCTCTTCTCCAACAAGGGGGGAAAAATAATATTTATAGCACAGAATGGTCACTTATAAATTACAATCTTAAGGGAGTTTCCTGTGTTTCTTCAAATGCATCTTAATCAAAAAGAAAATAAAAAGTGGTGTCTCTTACATCATTCAAATAAATTAGCACAGAGAAAGGCACCAGCAGGAAAATTCCTACATCATTATCACTATAGTAGAAGAGCATTATTTTGCCTTACACATTATCTTGAACATTACCAATTGCACTGAGCACTGACATTAGAATTCTAACTATAGTTCGCTGTACATTCAAGTCCCTTTATCTACAGTATTCATTCAGTTTAAGAAATTGTTGCTATCAAAATTCTTGCCTTATTCTTATCGCAAATTGCAAAACTAATTATATTGAATTCATGGCCAAAAATTTAGGATGAAATTTACATTCATTCTTTTTCTTTAAATATATATACATATAGAATACTGTCTTTAAATTTAACTACTGCAGTTAGCACAAAGGTGAGTTTACATTGCAAGAAAATAAAATAAAAACAAAGTTTCTCAATTCTTCTTTTCAGTATTGTAAACTTTGAAATTACTCACCAAGACATTCTAGATATGAAACATCCAAAAAACTGCTGGGCCAAGGACTGGGCTAAACACCTTCTAGTCAAAGGTGTCTCATCGATAATCATGGCACTGTGTAATAGATTTGTGCTGGAATTTTAAAAAGACAGATATTTATAACCAGGAAAAAAACAATTATTGAGTCAAAATAAAATAATCCCACATCTAATCTAATAAAAGAGAAACATGCAAATTGACCACACCTCACCTATGCCCCAAGAAATGCCCACCAGCCAATCAGAGCAACTATATGCAAATTAATCCAACCAAGATGGCGGCCGGCAGCCATGGAGCTGGAGCAAGCAGGAGGCTTGGTTGTCCCAGCGATGGAGGAAGCCAAGCTTCCCGCCTGCCCTGGCCGGCTGTGGCCTCCGCTCAAGGCAACAAAATTTCAATTATAAAAGATAAATAAATCCCAGATACCTGCTTCCAGCCAGACTCCACTGGGTGGCTGGGGGCCATGGCCAGCCTGCACACAGCCATCAGCCCCTCACCCAGGATGGCCACACCCTCATGGGATGAGGGTCCCCACTGGGGGGCTTGGCCAGCCTGCAAACAGCCATCAGCCCCTCACCCAGGATGGCCACACCCTCATGGGGTGAGGGTCCCTGCTGTGGGGCTTGGCCAGCCTGAAAACAGCCATCAGCCCCTCACCCAGGCTGGCCAGGCACCCCAGGGGGACCCTCACCCTGATCCGGGACACCCTTCAGGGCAAACCAGCCGGAGCTGCCCCCTGGTGGTCAGTGCGCTCCCACAGGGGGAGCTCTGCTCAGCCACAAGCCAGGCTGACAGCTGCCAGTACAGCAATGGTGGTGGGAGCCTCTCCCGCCTCCTCAGCAGCGCTAAGGATGTCCGACTGCAGCTTAGACCTGCTCCCTGCTGGCAAGTGGACATCCCCTGAGGGCTCCCAGGCTGCCAGAGGGATGTCTGTTTGCCAGCTTAGGCCCGATCCCCCGGGGAGCGGGCCTAAGCCAGCAGGTGGTCATCCCACAAGGGGTCCCAGACTGCGAGAGTGCACAGGCCGGGTTGAGGGACCCTCCCGAGTGCACAAATTTTTGTGTACCAGGCCTCTAGTTTAAAATAATAGAATTGAAGTTAGGCAAAAAAGAGAAAAATCAGAATATTCTCCCAAAGAGCTTTCGCATCTTTTCGAAATATAGCTGAAATCCATAATCTTGATATGTTTTGCTTAAAGCAAGGACTACGTTTCCCAATGAGTTCCATGAAAAGTATATATACCTTTTGCAGGGGTAAAGGGAAGGGAAGCATCATTATGTTAATAAAAAAACTAATCCTCCTATGAAGGGCTCTTGTAATATTTTCCAAGTAATAACTATTAATTTTTTGTGCTCTATTATTTACTTTCATATACACTGACCCATAGGAACCTTCTAACAACCCTCTGGAAAATGCAAGGACAGTATTATTATCCCCTTTTTGTTTTTTATTTTATTTTTAATATTTTTGTTGATACAGAGGGAGAGAGAGGTAGAAACATCAATGATGAGAGAAAATCACTGATTGGATGTTTCCTGCATGCCCCCCACTGGAGACTGAGCCTGCAACCCGGGCATGTGCCCTTGACCAGAATCGAAACTAGGACCCTTTAGTCCGCAAGCCAACACTCTATCCACTGAGCCAAACCAGCTAGGGCAGTGGTCGGAAAACTGTGGCTCGCGAGCCACATGCGGCTCTTTGGCCCCTTGAGTGTGGCCACAAAGTTTCAATCGCACTGTAATTGCGCACCCGCACGTGGTATTTTGTGGAAGAGCCACACTCAAGGGGCCGCAGTTTGCCGACCACTGAGCTAGGGCAATCCCCTTTATAGAGATGAGAAAATTTAGGTCCAGATAGGGTAAAATGATTGACCTTGACACACAAAACTTCTAAATTTGAAACTTTTCAAAGAATGAAACAGAGAAGGGAGAGAGGTAAAGAGAATACAAAAGGAAAGAAAATGAAAATAAAGTTCTCTTTTCCTTTTTTCTTACAAAATAATTTCTGAAAATATAAATGAATTTTGAATAGTGCAAAGAAAAATCTCTCACTAGTTATTCACAAAATAACTTACATGATTTTTAACTGCATAAGCAGAAAAGACTTTTAAAAAATATGTAAAATATTCCCTCTTCTGTAATAATTTCAAGATTATGTGCCTATAGAATAAAACAAAATATTTAAAGCCAGAAAAAAAATCTGCCATTTTCAAGAATTAAACATCTATAAGTGCATTGAAGTTAACTGAGAAATTTAGGACACTTTTATTTCCTTCTTTGCCTTTCCTTCATCTTAAATTTTTGTCAAATAATTATATATTTTATGATTTACTTTTTTCTCTTAAAGAATTACCTCTGACATTTGCATTTTGTTTCATAATTATGTTCCAAAAAATGACTTAGACATTAACTGTTCTTTTTTTTTTTTTTTGACATTAACTATTCTTTACTGGCTTGTTTATCAATGGTAATAAATAGGCATTAACTATTCTTTAATAGTTAATGGTTGTTCCTTTTGTACCCTTTCTTCCATTTTTGGTTTCTTCCTTTTGACTCATCAATTGACTGATGGACCTTTGCGGGCATTGTCTGTCAGGCCGATTATGTGAGTTCTTACATGTCTAGAAGGTCTTTCTCTTAACCCATCTATACTAATAAAAGGGTTATATGCTAATTAGACCAGACATCTTCCGGACGTCCTTCCGGACAGAGCCACAGTGGCAGGGGCCAAGGCAGAGGTGGTTAGGGGTGACCAGGCTGACAGGGGTGGGCAGTTAGGGGTAACCAGACCAGCAGGGGAGGGCAGTTAGGGGCAACCAGGCCAGCAGGAAGAGGCGGTTAAGGGTGACCAGGCCAGCAGGCGGAGGCGGTTAAGGGCAACCAGGCAGGCAGGGGAGCAGTTGGGGCGATCAGGCCAACAGAGGAGCAGTTAGGGGCATCAGGTCAGGCAGGCAGAGTGGTTAGGGGCGATCAGGCAGGCAGGCAGGTGAGTGGTTAGGAGCTAGGGGTCCCGGATTGTGAGAGGGGTCCCAGATTAGAGAGGGTGCAGGCCGGGCTGAGGGACCACCCCCCCATGCACGAATTTCGTGCACTGGGCCTCTAGTATATGAATAATATCGTAACTATGTACAGAATTCTTTGTAATTATTGCTCCTAAAAATTCAATAGGCATTGCTTCATTGTAGAATTTAGTTACATAATAAAGTTTGGGAAAAGTCCACTTTTTTCTTTGTGTGTAACTTGTTTCCTTCCTATTTAGATACTGAAATGTTTTTCCTTTATCCTTGAAACTTGAGATTTCATAAAGATGTACAGTCCCTTTATATTCATTTTATCCCTTAAATCTGCTGGCTTGCAGTTTCCTTCATGTCAGAGAAATGTTCTTCTATTATTTCTTTGATCTTAGAAGTAGTAGATTACAGAAAATAGTTAAACAAAATCTTTAATTAGAATCTTTAAAAAAATTTTTCATTCGGTTTTATTGAGATAGAACTGATATACAGCACTGTATAAGTTTAAAGTGTATAGCATAATGACTTGATTTACATAATTCCAAAATGATTATCACAATAACTTTAGTTAACATTTATTACCTGGTAGATAGGGTTACAAGAAAAAAAAGAGAGAAAAAATGTTATTTTCCTTGTGATAAGAACTTTTAATATCTACTACCTTCACAACTTTCAAGTATACATTATATCCCCAATACTTATAACAGAAAGTTTATACCTTTTAACCACCTTTATCCAATGCCCCCACTTCCCACCCCACCTCTGATAACCACAAGTCTGATGTCTTTTTCCATAAGTTTTATTTTGTTATAGATTCCACATCTAAGTGAAATACAGCCTTTGTCTTTCTTTGGCTTAACTAGAAACTTTAAATGAGTATATAAAATGTTCATTAGTGGTTGGCTCATAATGGGCTCAGTAAACATATGTAGAGTAATGAATGAATGAATGAATGAATCTTTTTTGCTCCTTCTCTTTTTGTTCTCTTCATCTTCCTGTTATACAAATGTTGTATCACTTATATTCTCTGTCTCTTATGCTTTCCCTCATCTCTTTAGCCTTTTCCTCTGATATCTAATAGAAATTTTCAAGCTAGTTTTCTAATATCATTTGGTTTTATGCTATTCATGGCTTATACTTTCTATATTTTTAATAGTGATTTTTCATATAAAAGGAATTTTTATAATTGAAATCTCATACATTCTTTTCTCATACATGCAATAAAAATTGTAGAAACTGCCCAGCTCCCAGCTCAGTGGTTGAGCATCGACCTATGAACCAGGAGTTCAGGGTTCGATTCCTGGTCAGGGCACATGCCTGGGTTGCGGGCTTGATCCCCAGTGTGGAGCGTGTAGGAGGCAGCCGATCAATGATTCTCTCTCATCATTGAGGTTTCTATCTCTCTATTCCTCTCCCTTCCTCTTTGAAATCAATAAATAATATATTTTTCCCTAGCCAGCTTGGCTCAGTGGATAGAGCGTCGACCTGAGGACTGAAGGGTCTCGGATTTGATTCCAGTCAAGGGTATATGCCTGGGTTGCAAGCTCAATCCCCAGTAGGGGGAATGCAGGAGGCAGCCAATCAATGATTCTCTCTCATCATTGATGTTTCTATCTCTCTCTCCCTCTCCCTTCCTCTCTGAAATCAATAAAAATATATTCAAAAATAAATAAATAAATAAATATTTTTAAAAATTGTAGAAACTAAAAAAATATATGTAAACATTATTATCAGTTAATTCTGGATGAAAACAGTATGAGTCTTTTGGGTTATTCTAAAAGTTTTCTTTATGCTTTTTTACGTTCTTTAATTTTAAAAACACTAGATTTTCTACAAAGCCAATCATGTTTAAAGAAAAAATACAAAACACATCTTAAAAATGATCATATAATAAATAACCATTTCAAATTTAAAGAAATACCAACCTAAAAATGCTCATAGAAGCATAAGCAGCCACTTCAACATAAGCCTCATCGATGAATACAGTCTTAAAGCAGGAGTATGGGTATCGATATGTAAGAATTTCTTCATAAAATTCAAAAACCTCATGAAGATATGATGTGGTATGTTTAAGCAATGGAAGAAGTTGGGGTAAACAAAAATGAGCAACCTGAAAATAAAAGCAAGAAATAATATCCTAAATAAGTTAATTTTATATTTAAATTTCCTAAATATCTCAATTATAGATAAACTAGAGGCCTGGTTCACGAATTCGTGCACGGAGTGGGGGGGGGGCTGTGGGAGGTTGGTCAGCTGGGGGGGAGGGACTGCGGGAGGTTGGCTGCTGGCCCCAAGGAGGGAGCTGGCCCTCGGCCCCCCTGGGAAAGGGGCTGCGTCTGCTGCCACCCACCCCTGCTTTCCTGTCCCAGCCCAGCCCGAAGACCCCGACGGGTTGGGAGAGGAGGCAATGGTTGCCAGACGTGGAAGGAACAGACACCAGATGCTGATGTCACCATCGGTACCCTGCCACAGTGTGGTTCCCTGCCTCCCCCGCTCCTTCTTCCCTTGCAACCGCGCCACCGTGGCAAGCAGGCAGCCCCCGGGGAAGAGAGAAGACAGAGGACGGGAGCAAGACAAACCCTTGTGTCGAGGGCTGACTTTCAATAGATTGCAGTGAGGGAACTGCTCTGCTATGTATGAAACCCTGACCCAGAAGCACGTCTCTACGAATGGTTTAGCACCAGGGGCAGATGGGGGCTGGCCAGCCAGGGGGAGGTGCCGTGGGAGGTTGGCTGTGGGGGCGCACTAACCACCAGGGGGCAGCTGCTGTGCTGAGCGTCTGCCCCCTGGTGGTCAGTGCATGTCATAGCAACTGGTCGACCAGTCATTTTGGTCATTCAGTCATAACAGTCGCTTAGGCTTTTATATATATAGATGTTCATACAGGTCCTTTTTTCTTTTTTACAAATTCATGGTACTGAAAGAAAATGCTTGTGTGAAATTAGAGATTACTTTTACTATATGTATAAAATATTTACTGTACTTAAAAATCAAATTCATGATGGATTATAAGTCTATAAAATGCTTAGAACCAATGAAAATATAACTTTGTTTTTAAATTAAGTAAAAAATTCTCCTGCATACAAAACAAAAAAGATGTGCATTTCAAAGACTTACAGATCTACCAGTAATTCAGAAATACCCAACCCAGTGAACATTGGACATGTCATAGTATTATCTTAATAATTAATAGTCAATGTTAATCATACTATCTTTACTGCACATAGAATGTCCTCCTTGACTATCTCAACTACATATTGAAAGCTGCAGGGAGCTTATTGCTTGCTAGGAAATAAGAAATGCCTGCAATATAAATTATGATTTCCTTATTAGGCTACATCACACCTTGGACATGGCACACAAATATCACATTCCATCTTGTCTCAATTTATGATTCTGTGCCAAATGAATGGCATCAACAGTGACAGAGATCACCCTTGATAGAACGAGCTGGCAATGATTCAGGCAGAAGACTGAATATAAGCTAACCTTTTTGAATTGGACAAAAGTCTGATAGGTAAGGAGAGGAAAAGAGGACATTCCAGATAGTGTCAGAAATAGGGTATGATTAGGAAAATCTAAGTAAACTACCTATATTGAATATAACAAACACAATAGGAACGTATTAGAAAAAAGCTAGAAAGGAATATTAAGGTCAAATTTTAGAAGATTTTGAAAGCCATGCTAACGAGTTCTGATTATTGCAGGAATGTGGAGGTAAGGAAAGTTTCAATGTGTGATAAAAATTCTTCTTCTGATAGCATTATAAAAAAATAGAGTAGAGACTACCATAATAATGAGGGATGAATATCTATACATTATTAATGGACAGGGCCCAAACTGCATCCTGATCAACACTCCTATTGGTACACAAACAAAAAAATACTACTCACCAAAAAAAGAATTCACTTTCAGACAAATGTACATGATAGCAAATCTACTGATATTGAGGCAAAAATTAAAACTATTTGAGCATCAACCCTTGAACCAGGAGGTCAGGGTTCGATTCCCAGTAGGGGGCATGCAGGAGGCAGCCAATCAATGATTCTCTCTCATCATTGATGTTTCTCTCTCCCTTTCCCTTCCTCTAAAATCAATAACACACACACACACACACACACACACACACACACACACTATTTGAGATAAAAAGACTAAGACATGAGCTCTAAGTATTTGAGAAAAATACCGGACTGTCATTTTCCTTTCTCTCATCCAATGTCTCAGCGTGGGAAAAAATTCTTCCAAAATACAAAGTAGGTACCAATCAAATGTTGATTCTAAAGTTGATAATTTACCAACGATAATAAAATTCATTGCCAATCTAATCAGCAAATACGCTTTTAAGAGACATTGTCAAGACAGTTTTTAAAAGTAAAACTATTGCCGAAACCGGTTTGGCTCAGTGGATAGAGCATCGGCCTGGGAACTGAAAGGTCCCAGGTTCGATTCCGGTCAAGGGCATGTACCTGGGTTGCGGGCACATCCCCAGTGGGAGATGTGCGTGATTTCAAAAATGCTGTGAATTTCAGGAAAGCAAACAAGAGCAGAGCAAGGAGCTAACAGTCTAACTCTAATTGCCCTCATTTTTGCTCACATAACTCAAAGAAATGCTGTTGAGATATACATGGTCACAGTATAAGCCTTATATTAAAAATAATAACAACTAAAATTAAAAACATAAAGAACTAATAGATTTTGGATTTTGGTAAATAATAGATTCATTCAAATGTTACTTTAAAAGTGTACCATAGCCAGAGGATCAATAGCCAGTGAATTACTTTCTAACTACAAGCAGTCTCATGCTTGGGGAGACCTAAAAGCACTATCTGGCCTCTCAATTGACAAATGATTTGTTACAAAATATGGGGTGGGGGAAAACTGGAAGAAGCCTTCATGAGTCTGTTGAGCAGAATTCTAACCCTGTCTCATCCTTTTCTCTTTTCCTCTATATACTGAAGTGAGAACCAAATCTTGCTCTTTAATTTTGAATTGCAATTTTTCAGGTCCAGAGATGTTTATAACATTCATAAACATATGCCAAACAAAAAGATGACATTATTAATGCACACAATTAGTTACCAAAATTAGCCTATATACTCTAATCAATATATAGTTGAAGCTCTTTTGAATGTGAAGACCTCTGTTGGAAAAAATCTGAAATTTTATTATGACAATATTTTGAAAGGAATTCACATCATTAAATATATATCAAACAAGGAAACCTTTTCTCTAGAATGATATTCTTGACAGTTAAAAGAAGAGTTAAGAAAAACTTAGTGTTTCATTAATATCCTTCTTTTTCTCAGGAGTGAAAGGGCAAAAGGGGAGAAAGGAGCAAGAAGCCATACCTCATGCATATATGGATCTACAAGTATTTCAAAAGGTCCAATGGCCAAGGCGATATTTGACGCAGCTGTTGGAATGGTAAGCATGTAATGGAAGGTCTTCTTCCTCATATCATGGGTATACACTGTCTCCACCAAATCGCCATTGGAAACAGCCACCATCGCAGCATCTACTGTCAACTCTAATTTCTATGTACATAATTCAGAGTATGAGTCAACACATGGGAACCAAAATCTAGAAAAAAGATCAACAGTATAAAAAATATGTTGAAAGTGTAACCTAAATTGCTTTACCCACGTATAAATTACTTTTACATTCATAGAATATCTACAATAAGAAACTTTAGCTATTTGAATACTGAAGTGGTTTTTTTTTTACTGTGTAATGTGGAAGAATTTTATTAAAGACAGAAACTTGTCTCCAAATATTTTCGGGAAATATTAAGTAAATGTATCTTGTGGTACCTTCAGTTTAAACCCTAATAAGAGGTAAGCAATTCTTAGTTTGCAATTTTAAAAATGAAAATAAATTTCGTTTGTATATTCATATAAGTTAGTTTTGATGTAGCACTCATTTCCAAAAACTAAAAATACTGATAATAAATTTTTAAAAATACAATATTCAGAATCTATTTCACAAGTTAGAAAATCGCTTTTTTGGAGTATCTGATGCATTGTATAAATTCAAACAGTGCTGGTAAAGCCATACATAAATTTCTAGTTGACTTTCTATCAATTCAGGTCAGGTTTTATTATGTGCCAGGGTTTGTAAGTAGCACTGAAACACAAAGAAATATAAGATATCATCCCTGGTTTGGAGGAGTTAATAATCTCAGAAGAAAATGCATACCATAAAGTAGTATTTCAACAACATGTAGTGAACTACAGAACTACAATTACACACAATCAAACTAAATCTCACTATCATAGTGTTCAACAAAAAAAGCCAGATATAAAGAGCATAATGCATATGCTTCCATGTATATCAAGTTCAAAAGCAGGTGTAATTAATCGTGGTATTTTAGAAATCAAAACAGTGATTACCCTTCGGCAGGAGAATATCAGGTAGGGAAGCAGTGAATGGAAATGGGTGGGAAAGAGACTCTGAGATGCTGGTAATGTTCTTTTTCTTGATGTGAGTGTGGATTACATAGGTTTGTTCACCTGGGCAAATTTATTGAACTTTTTATATACAACTTGTGTAATTTTTTGTTTACTTCAATATATAGTTAAAAAATAAAAGAACTGAGATGATTTTAGAACAATATACTTACAAATGAGAGAGAAGACATATTGAGGAGGAATGACTAATTGAACAAGAAAGAGGTAGAAGAGATTGGGGGAATCAAGCTGGTACTTCTCATTTTATACTAAATACATGTATTGTATTTACATTGAAAATGAAATTAACTAAAACATATAAGAATGAGTAATCTACCTTGTGGAATTCTGATACCCACAAGAGAAAACATGAGCACCTCTCTCTGCCATACTTCCCTCTACACTGGGTACCACAAAATGAAGACCTCCTTTTGGCTGATCCAAAGAAAAATTGATGTGTATCTTTAGGACCTTTAATTCTGCAACAAATAAATACACACATGCATTGATACATAAATATGTAAATTAGTGGTCTATAATAAGAGCAAACTTACACTGAACATAAAAAGGCTCATGAAAAACCACACTCCTTAACCAAGTTCAGGTTTCACCATCTCTCCACCTAGGTTAATTCCATAGCCTGCCTTCACAGGTGTCCTTGGCTCCACTCAATTCTAGTCACTGCTGTGTTCTTGGAAATGTAGCTTTGGCTATGCCATGTCCTCATGTCAACATTCCTGGCAATGCTACACTGCCTAAAGAAAAAACTTCACAACTCCCACATCGGACACTTAAGTCCTCCTCTTCTAGATCCAATTGAAGACATACTTTTCAGGTTAAATATATGGTGATGGAAGATTTGACTCTGGGTGCTGGGCATACAATGCAACATACAGATGATGTATCATAGAATTGTACACTTGAAACCTATGTAATTTTATTAACTAATGTCAGCCTAATAAATTTAATAAAAGTTAAAATACATAGAAACCCCCCGCAAAAACTTAAAAAAAAAAATACAAAAAGTAGGCAAAAAAAAAAGTTTGTTCTATTATTACATTTCCCCACAGATAGTTAACCATAGTTGACTTTGGGAGTAGATGAAGAAGTGAAGGGTAGGGTAGATGGGAAAGCTTACCCAAGAATTTACATTATGCATTATTTATTACGTGGTTTTTTTTGTCTCACTTGATTTCTACAGAATGTGTTGCTTTCATATTAAGTTTAAAAGTTGTTTCTTTTCATTTCCCCAGAACATTATAACCATATGCACTATCCCCAATCTCTGAACACACAATGATGACTTTCCATGTCTGTACCCTAAATTAGGCAAAACTCTCCCCTCAAAATAATCCCACACACACACAAAAACTAGCAATATGCAAAATCAAAACAAAATGTCTTTTACTTCCTTATGTTTAATTTTTATAAGGCCAAATAAAGATAGGCAAAAAGTTATATATAATAATTATAATGGCTATAAATATATTCAAGAAAATAAAAATTTAGAAATAAAACTATGCTCAAAAGTATGCAGAGTGGGTGTTATAAACCCTATGTTCTAGCCTTGACTCTACTATTAATTAATGACCTTCAGCAGGTCACTTACTCTCTTTCAACTTCAGATGACTCTTCTGTAAAAGGAAGGAATGATGATTTTTTAGGATTCTTCCTGCTATAAAATGCTAAAATCCTAAACTGATTTGATATTGTGTGGAATCTCAAATCTCAACAAACTGTTCCAGTCATCTGATTTTTTTTTATAACTTTCACTTTAAAAACAACAGTGAAATTAGTTGATTTCTGTCACACCCCTTCATTGCTATTTTCCTGTTAGCCTGTGATCCTTAAGGAAAAAAAAAGATTCCAACTTGTGATTATTTAAATTTATAATTTTGATGTTGTTTTCATATCAAGGTTCTAGTCACTGAACCTAACATGATTGTATTGCACAGTCAATATCGTCTTGGTATTTTACCATCAACGTGTTTCCATAACTCTGATGGAACCTTAATGCAAAGTTCTCCATTTCCTGCATCAGGATCCACAGCACTCACCGCAGCTGCATAAGCATTGGAAAAATAATTGAGATTTCTCCTGGGGGTAAAAAAAAAGAAAGGAATTTTAACAATACGCCATATAGTTCACCAAGCATTTTCTTAAATATTTGATAGCATTTGTTTGTAAGCATTATATAGTCTTACATAATTCATAAGAACGCTTTTTAGCCATGTAATTATTACTCTACTCACCAAGACAAAAACTACTGAACTACAAATTCAGTGACACATATAGTCCACTCACCAATGCTATATGATTATGATTATCACATTATCCAATAATTTTGGAATGCCAAAGCCAATACACTTTCCTGATATAAATGTAGAGAATACCAGTATATGTAGAATTTAAGAAATAATTATTCTTTATCAATCTGGTAAAAATTTGAATAGATTAAACAGGCCTTATAATCTGACAGGTATTGAAGTGATTAAAACATATGAGAGAGCCCAGCTGGTTTGGGTCAGTGGATAGAGCATTGGCCTGGGGACTGAAGGGTCCTGGATTCAATTCCGGTCAAGGGCACAATATTTTTTAAAAAATCAAACCACCTGATGGTCTTGATACACAAAACCTGAGGATGGGAATCAATTCCTCAAAATGTAATACTGCTCCTCATCACTCCCCAGTGGATGACAATGTAAGCTTAATGAGTAAGGAGAACTCTGGGCTGGTTCACTGTTATATCCCCTATATGCCAGGGGTACTTGATAAATTTATTTGTCCAACAGTTACTTGATTTTACCTCCCATTGGATGAAAACAATACACAGAAGTCTTGTGGAAATATGAAAACATTGTTCTCATCTGATTTTCTAATTTTAATCCATAAAAAAACAACTTACATGTACACATATTACACTTCCTCCCTGAAATCACTTAAAGGAATATGGAAGAAATAGAAAAAAGACAGACAATGAATGGCAAGAGCAAGAAAACAAAATGATAGAGCAACACCATGAGCCATATTCTCCCTGTCACCTTTATGTCTCTCACCTGCTATTAGATGAATGCACAAGGTAAAGTTAGTGACATTTTCACTAGTGTGGTAAATTTTTAATCTACAAAATGATTACAAGGAAAAGCCATTAAAGAAAACATTCAGTTATACATTCTTAACTTGACAGAGGCCATTCTTCCCCCATCTTCACTTCTCTACTAACTAGGAAAGATGCAGTATTAACTATGCTTTTAACAAGTACATAACTTAAAGCTCTGGAATTAAACAGACTGCTCAATAATTTTAATAATTTCTATTAGATAAATATATAAAATAAAAGGTGTAAAAACTCCAGGATCACAATAAAAACTCGGTTCTCACATACTACCCATTCTTAGAATTATCAGACAGTAAAAGTAACCTTCTTCTTTGGTATGCAACTCTATAAATGTTTTTTTAAAATATGTTTTTATTAATTTTAGAGAGAGAAAGGGAGAGAGAGATAGAAACATTAATGCATCAACACTGATCGGCTACCTCTTGCACCCCCGCAACCTGGGCATGTGCCCTGACCAGGAATTGAACTGTGGACCTCTTGATGCATAGGACTATGTTCAACCAACTGAGCTACACTCGCCGGGCTACAACTCTATAAATTTTAACACATGTGTAACTATCACCACAATCAGGATAGAGAACAGCTTCATCATCCCAAAAGGTCTCTTGTGCTATGCCTTGTGTAAAAAAAATGGAACAACAGCCCAGCCAGCGTGGCTCAGTGATTAAGGGTCGACCTATGAACCAGGTGGTCAGGGTTTGATTCCTGGTCAGGGCACATGCCCGGGTTGTGGGCTTGATCCCCAGTGTGGGGTATGCAGGAAGAAGCCAATCAATGATTCTCTCTTATCAGTGATGTTTTTCTCTCTCCCTCTCCCTTCCTCTCTGAAATCAATACAAATATTTATATATTTTTTTAAGTTTCTTTTTTTTTTAATGAAACAACAGAATGTAACCTCTTGAGGCTGGCTTGTCCCACTATGTTTCTGAAATTCGAGAAAAGTGTTACATGTATCACCACTGTTGCTTTTTACATTGAATAGTATTCCACTGCATAGATTGTGCCACAGATTCTTTATTCATTCACCCACTGATAGGCATCTGGGTTGTTTCCAGCTTGTGGTTATCACAAATAAAGCTGTTATTAACAAATGAGTATCAGTTTCTTTGTGACTTTAATTTTCATTTCAGGAGTACAAATAAGCCAATCATGATTCTCTCTTATCAGTGATGTTTTTCTCTCTCCCTCTCCCTTCCTCTCTGAAATCAATACAAATATTTATATATTTTTTTAAGTTTCTTTTTTTTTTAATGAAACAACAGAATGTAACCTCTTGAGGCTGGCTTGTCCCACTATGTTTCTGAAATTCGAGAAAAGTGTTACATGTATCACCACTGTTGCTTTTTACATTGAATAGTATTCCACTGCATAGATTGTGCCACAGATTCTTTATTCATTCACCCACTGATAGGCATCTGGGTTGTTTCCAGCTTGTGGTTATCACAAATAAAGCTGTTATTAACAAATGAGTATCAGTTTCTTTGTGACTTTAATTTTCATTTCAGGAGTACAAATACCCAGGAGTGGGGCTCGAGTGATATGGTAAATATACGTTAAGTTTATAAGAATCTGCCGAACTGTGTTCCTCTGTGTTCCTCTGAGCAGAATATGAAACTGCCAGTTGCTCCTCATCTTTGCCAGCACTTACTTAATGTAACATCTAATTTTAAAGACTACTTAATACATCTATAGATTACAATTTATTTTCAATAAAATTTCAAAAATAAGAAATTTGAAAGACAGTTAAGGAACTTGTAATTTCCCCATTATCTGTGAAATGCAAAATTAAAAAATAATTGTTACACAAAATGCCAAATTTAAACATCACATATTAGGCTGCTCAGTTTCTTTATGGGAAATTATTCTCTTAATGTCCTCATTTCTTCAGAAAAGGTAAAGTGATCCAAATAAAATGGTGAGTCATTAGAAATGAAATCTAATAGGAAGTCAGTTATAAGAAATACTTTTCTCATGGTTTGGATTTCAGTGTTTGCTTTCATAATAAGAATCAAATGTTTTCTTTCATAATAACCTCATAAAAGCCAAAAACTACAAGGCAAGATTATAATAAATGTTTTCAATTTTCAGAATAATGACTACAAAATATTAATGTGCTCTTGCCCTATAACCAGCCCACCCTACCCCACCAACTCCCAGTCCTCGTCAAAGAAATAAAGCTAAAAGATGAGTAATGCTGTAGGGGATACTGAAAAACTGGAAAATTAAGGTGATGGAATCCTATATAATAAAGAGCTAATATGCTAATTAGATTGAACAGCAGAATGACCATCCAGACGACCTTCCGGATGATCTTCCGGACGAAGCCAGGGCTGTGAGGGCCCAGGCAGCCGGGGCTGCGAGAGTGGAGCCCCTTGCATGAATTTTGTGCATTAGGCCTCTAGTCTATTATAATCACTCACATTATATTAAAATAACCCGTTAATTCTTTGTCAAATAAAGAACGTGTGCTTCTTAAAACTATAGGTGCAGTCCTGGCTGGTTTGCTCAGAGGTTAGAGCATTGGCCCACAGACCAAAGAGTCTCAGGTTCGATTCCTGGTCAAGGGCATGTACCTGGGTTGCAGGCTCGATCCCCAGGTCTGGTTGGGGTTTGTGTGGGAGGCAACCAATCAATGTGTCTCTCTCACATCCATGTTTCTCTCTCTCTCTCTCTCTCTCTCTCTCTCTCTCTCTCTCTCCCTCCCCCACCCCTCCTTCTCTTTTACTCTCTCTAAAAACCAATGGAAAAAATATCCTCAGGTGAGGATTAATAACATAAACTATAGGTGCAGATTTTGCAAGCCTTAAGATTCGATTATTTTTCTCTTTTTTTAAAATATTTCATGGAAGCACAATTTACATCAGGAAAGTATATATACTCTAAGTATATAGCTCGATGAACTTTCACAAAACCAAAGCCAGTATACAGAACAAGAACAGAACTTTGCCAGCCTCTAGAAGCCGTCTTGTGCCCTCTGATAATCACTAGCCAAGCCCCACTTCCCACCGCCAAGGAAAACTCATTATTATGACATCTACTGTGCTAGATTAACAGCTTAATATACATTCTCTTGTATCTGACTTCTTTTACTTGATGTTAAGTTTGAGAGATCCACCCATATTATTACATTTAGTTATTGGTCATTCATTCTTATTACCGTTTGGAATTCCAATAGTGTGAGAATACACCAGAATCTACTATTCTACCACTGATACATCTTTAAGTAATTTCCAGTGTTGACTATTATAAATGTTGCTGTGAACGTTGCTGTGTGAATTTGTTGGTGAACACATGAACATGCTTCTATTGGGTGTATACCTAGGAGTGAGACTGTCAATCATAGAGTATGCATATATTCAAACTCAATTTACTTTTCTACTAGCAGTGTTTGAGAATTTTAATTACTCTACATCTGTGTCAACATTCAAATTTTTTCCTTGCCTTTAGTTTTGACAGTTTACATACAGGGGGGAAAAAATGCCAGCCAACAGAAATTGATTACTGAAACTTTGAAAAGTTGAGACTTTTCAAGCAAAATAAAAAAGGTCTTCTCAAAGTGGCAATGCCTATCTAGGGAAGGAAAAGAAACACAGATGAAGGAAAGAAGTCAGCTACTGTAGGCTATCTATCTACAGAAACAGGTTATCTGACACAAAGTCTACATTTATTTTATTCTAAGAAGAAATACAGAAAAAGCAGAAAAAAAAAAAAGAAAGAAAGAAAAGAAAAAGAACACACCAAAGAGTCCTACCACCTATGGAGGCAAACTATAATCTATCTATAATACATAAGGTTCAAACACAAAATATATTTGAAGAAACTTCAAGTGTTGCAATTATTTTATTTTTCTAGCAGACAATAAGCTGGGGGGGGGGGAGAGAAAAAGAGAGAAAAGCCTTAAAGATGTTACATAAGCCATTGGGTTTTTAGTTGCTAGTATGGGTAAGTTAACATTCAGTTGGTTAAAATAGGCAGAAATGCCTTTTAGTCTCTATGTTTCCCTTTCTTACAATCCTCCTATAGTTCAAAGGTGCTGAATCTCAACCAAGGTAAGTAAGCACATTCTTTCCATTAAAAATAGGAGGGCCTGGCATCTCAACTTTAAAACAAATAAGAAAATGTGACGAAGTAGTATATTACTTCTTTGAATGTTAGGACATTCTTGTATGTATTAAAGATCACATTTACCACCAATAATTTTAAATATAATTTTCAATTTCAAAACTGTCATACATTTTTTTTGTTTCAACTATAGTGAAAATTTTATTGGCTTATTGAAAAAAGTAAGTTATTTCAGAAACAGGAAAGATAACAGAAGTATCTAAGGATATGCTAATTACCTTAACTATCTGCCTTTCTCAAAGTTCCCTTCAAAAATGTCACCCATGGAAATATTTTTCATATCTAATTGCAAAAAAAAAAAAAAAAGCAGCAATATTTCTTCTGGATAACTGGTATGTTTCTGTCTTGTATCTTATGAATCTTACAAGTAATAAATAATAGTGTTTACAAGTCATAGTGCTTCCCTCTCTGGGATGATAATCCTTTGTTTGAGGAATTGTGCAGTAACTTAATAATGTATACATACCATCCTATATTTTTTTATCCTACAACCAAAAAAAAAAGTCTACAGGCTAATTTCATTAGGAACTTAAAAAAAACTATTGTCTAATAAAATTCTAAAAGGAATCTGAAATCTCTTATGAACAGTCAGAGAACAGACATCAGCAAAAATAATTAATGTCATCTTTCTTAAAAGGTATTCAAGCCCTAGCCAGTTTGGCTCAGTGGATAGAGCGTCAGCCTGCGGCCTGAAGGGTCCCAGGTTTGATTCCGGCCAAGGGCACATGCCTGGGTTGCAGGCTCGATCCCCAGTAGGGGGCGTGCAGGAGGCAGCCGATCAATAATTCTCTCTCATCATTAATGTTTGTATCTCTCCCTCTTCCTTCCTCTCTGAAATCAATAAAGACATATATATATATATATATATAAAATTCCAAAAAGGTACTCAAACTCTGGCTGGTATGGCTCAGTTGGTTGGAGCCATCATTCCACGCACTGAAGGGTCATGGGTTGATTCCTGGTCAGGGCACATATCCAGATTGATGTTTCTCTCACATCGACGTTTGTTTCTCTCTCTCCCTCTCTCTAAAAAACATATCCTCAGGTGAGGATTTTTAAAAAAAGCAATCACGATTCTAGAGCTAGGGAGCATCTGAGATCTTGTTTCCCAGGATACAGTTAGTTTGGCTCAAATAAACTCTAATAAAAATTTTTATAAAAAATTCTAGAGCTAGGCAGAAAAACAGATATAGTAAGCAAAGATTTATTAAGTGACCATGACTGAGCTTTGGCTCTTGCTGAAAAGAAAATTTTAGGTATATTCTATCCTCCCCAAATTCCTAACCTTGGAAAAGGTTCTCCTTCATGACTTCCTTCTCTTTACTTATAACACTAAAATTGATGAGGCACCTTCCCTATCACTAGGGGAAATTTTTAAGGGATATCAACACCTCACAATAACCATAGCAAAGTAAAGCTTGCTCCCTCAACATATTTGGGGTTATTGTTCTTGTCACTGTAATGCCACAGGTTATCTTCTTTGAGACCTGACTGGCAGATGGAGAGGCTTCTTAACCCTGTCATCAAACTCAGAGTTCTAGGCTCGACAGGGTAGCACTTTGGCTTCTGGCAAGGCAATGGCTCATCCACTTGCCCTGTTACAGCTGCCTTTTCCATTCATTAGTTTCCATATATAGTTACTACTCCAAAGGCAGATGGCTTTTTTCTGGGGAAAAGAGGATGCAGATGATTTTGTAGTAAGTCCTTTTATGTCAGTTCTACAAGTATGGCTGTAAAAGCAATGTAATTTCAACAACCGATCACCGTTATGAAATGGGAAGGCACAGGAGCAATTCAGAGATTCCCTGAATTTTCCCAGCACCATTTTCTCTTCTCTTCTCTGAGTTAGAAAGATTCTAAACCAGTGATTACTTGGATCATAAGTATCTAGAGATAAACTTCCTTTCTCAACCCTCCCAATCCCTTTAGATCAGTGGTTCCCAACATGGGGCACACGCCCGAATTTGATTTTTAAGGGGGGCAATTCAAGAATGAGTTATTAACAGTGAATTTTAAGCTTTTCTTGTGGTTCTAGGGGCCTCATATACAGTATATAAATATATATTGTGACATATTTATGCATTTCAGTTCTCTATTATATGTTTTGAAACTTTACTTGCTATTTTTTCGTATCACTTCACATTATTTTTTAAAAATAATTTCTTAGTGATTTCTTCCTCAGTACTTCAACTGTCCTTTCATTCTTTTATTTTTCTTTTTCATGGATGCCATGTTCTTTGGAAGCTTATTTAGACCAAGTTAATGGCCTTTTAGGCTTCCTCCACGTGAATAGTTTACTTTTTGAATAATAAGAATTGTATGTCACAGGGGAAGCCATCAGGATTTTAGAGATGCTTAGGCGGGGCATGGCCAAAAAAGGTTGGGAATCACTGCTTTAGATGGTGATCCTCAAGCTTTAATTTGTATCAGAATCACCTGACAGGCTATAAAAACACAAACTGCAGGACCCCACCCCTAGTTTTCAGTCAGTAGTTCTGGGGTAATGCTTGGGAATTTGCATTTCTAACAAATTCCCAGTTGATGTTGATGCTGCTTGTCTGGGAATCCTACTTTGAGAAACTGCTGCCTTAATGCACTTATTACACATCTAGATGAGTACTTAACAGTTTATAATAAAAAAAATAAGATTTTATAGTTTGGAACATTCTACCCCAAAACATTGAGAATCACAGAAATGATATAAGCCAACACTATCAAAGCTTTGAAAACGAAAGTGCCAGTATTTAAATCAGTACAAATCTTACTGGAACACAATCAAGTAAAATGCTAAGAAGAGCCTTAACAATGATAATCCTATAATTCAAATGCAAAAAAAACTAATCTGTTCCAAAATACTTACTCAACATTACTTATGATCACAACAACTGGAAATTGTACACATGCCAAACAACTAGAAAATAATCATTCAAACTACAGTAGACTAAGCGGAATGTTAACCGACCATAAAAATAATAAAAAATGAAGCCTATCATATTAAACATGGAAAAGTGAAAACAAAATATTTAAATGAAAAAAGCAGAACATAAAAAATTGATCACAACATATGTTTACTGATAAAAATCACAAGTAGCTTCAAGACATGCAATATTTATTTAAGATAAAGAATGAGATATTTCAGACACAGTATTTTATATGATATTCTAAAGTAGTTAAAATAGTTTATAGAATATTTTAAAGTAGTCTCTGGTCTATAGATTGATGACCATCTAACTTATTAAAAATTACATTTAATATTTATGAAGTAAAATATTTTTTAAAACATCAAAAGTAAAAAAAAAAAAAAAATGGCTAAGAAAACTTATTTAAAGTTCTCCAATAGTACTTCTTTAAAACTGTAGACTGAAGAAGGAAAACTTAATAATTTACTATGTTGGGCAAAGCTAGTAAAATTTTTTAAACTGAATGTGCAGAGTGGTAAAAGCAACAGAAATTATAATTAGAAAAAAAGCAAACAAACCTGGGAACCAGAGTCTAATAATAATCTTGGAAAACTAAACTGAAAAAATTAATCAAATCATGTGAAAAAAAGGACTGTTAGAAATAGCAACTTTTATAGTGTATAACTTACTGTTTTGATTCATTGTGACAAACTTCCAATGTCGGATCATTATAAATAAAAGCAGCTTCTAAATCATTGATCCTTACTCGGTATATTCTACACTGCTTGCTGTTCAACTTGATTCTGTTGAAGTTTGCAACTGTGGGAAATATAGTCAGTTCCACAAATCCCTGTAAAGATAAATAATAATAATTTCATTATAATTAAGATTGGTATGTTTTAGAACATATTTCTTTGATTTCACACAGTACACTCCATAATCCCAAATAGCTATATATAGTACATACAAGTGCTCTCCAACTATCTTCATTTCAAACATGTCCTAGTGAAGTGATGGCGAACCTATGACACGCGTGTCAGAGGTGACACGTGAACTCATTTTTTTGGTTGATTTTTCTTCATTAAATGGCATTTAAATATATAAAATAAATATCAAAAATATAAGTCTTTGTTTTACTATGGTTGCAAAGATAAAAAAATTTCTATATGTGACACGGCACCAGAGTTAAGTTAGGGTTTTTCAAAATGCTGACACGCAGAGCTCAAAAGGTTCGCCATCACTGTCCTAGTGACTGAGTGGAAATAAATTATGTATGCTTTATCTTCTGGTGGTTCACATTCACTACCAGTGAATATTAGACCATCTGCTAGGAAAAAAGTAAAAGAACTCACTACTCTCAAATGTAATAATTTCTAATCAGACTGGAACCCAAACAGAGAGGAAGGAAAAAAGAATGACAGAGCAGAAAGAGAATCAAAACCATGTCAGTGAGTGAAAAAACCTTCTCCCCCCTCCCCAAATAGGATAAAAAAAAAACTACATCAATGAAGCTAACAAGTATGAGTCACTACTAATGAGAGATAAATCAGAAATGTGAAGAGGCAAGAGCTACAAGGGATACTCAGAAAAGTAGGGGAAATCTGTTGCTGCCTCTTAGAGCAGCAGATACTTCAAGATGCTGGATGGGTTCCAACCAAGTAGACCCAGAGACCATACACATGTAGTTCTACCATGTTAGCTGTGTGGTGAGCAATCTATCTGAAAAATGTACCTAAGACATGAGAGACAGCTAAATACACTGACTGACCACCACCCTCTTGTGTTCAAATGGGAAAGACGGTCCAATGAAACATGGAATATCTGTCCAGTAATTTAGATATCTTAGGGTTGAACACTGATGTTCTCAAACACAAAATATGGGAGGGCATATAACAGTAACATTTCAGGGGCTGCAAAGTGAAGAGAAAAATCTCAGAGGCTGCAACAGGAATAGCTAAGATGAAATGCAGGCAATAAACATAGAAGGCTAGATTATAACGGCTACTGTTTAATGAGCACTACTATACACCAGATATACTACTTTTCTATGTTTTAATTCCAATAACAACTTTAAAAGATAAGGACTATGTTATACATTTACAGATAACAGTTTAGAAATTATATTAACAAATGGAAAATTAAGATTCAAATCCACTTCTAAATGATTCCAACTGATTTCCATCCATTATGCCATGTCTCAGTGTAAAGCTTTTAAAATACATGCAAGAATTTTTAGATAACATCCAACCCAACTGTTCAAAAACCTAGAGATCCAGTAGCTTTTTTCCCTCCTTCCAAAATAAGAGAAAAGCCATATATCCTTAACTAAACCATCTGGACAGACTTATGAGAAAGCCAATGAGAACAGAAAGAGCAAATGCACAAATAGTGTTGATGAAGTCTCTGTGTTTAAAGGTGTAAACTGTGAGCAATTGTAGGAAAGAAGACTCAAATTCCCTTAATTAGCACATCAGCAATGCACTTACCAATCTACACAAATCAGTTTGGATCAGTTGAAAGACAGCAAGCAGAACCAAGATAATGTCAAAAGTAAACCAGAAAAGATTATGGAAAGTGCTGTCAACAGCTAGCTATATGGGTGAGACATAAGAACAGGATTTGGTTAACAGTCAACTAAACTAAGGTTAACAGTATTTATGCCATACAAGTTATATTATCCTCCCAAATTCCCCAACATTCACTGAAGGTTCAGACTCTCCCTTTCTAACCCATCTCTGCCATCACTCTAAGTTACCTGACTGAAGGTATATCTGATCCATTGAGTAACAGCTTCAAAATTCCTTTACTTCAATTCCTATGATCTTCCCTTCCATTAACGGACAACAATCAAGATCACACTCTTGAAGACACCTCATCACTGCTCAGAATGCCTACAATTTCTATCCTTTTGCCCTTAATACTTCTCTCCTAGTCTTCCTGTTCAGCCACATTAAATTCTCCTGCTCCTCAATCTCCTCCGGTTTCTCACTACAATCCTTTTAGGGCTACTTTCTTCTCCATTCTCCCAAGATCCTTAACTTCAACCCCTCTTCCACCATCTATCAATTATCTTCCCCCTCTGTTACATGTACCTAACATTCCCTCCTGTTTAAGAATTCTTCTACTAGTGGTGATTCTCCGTATATCTTCAGAAATCCTGCTCTAGCCGAACCGGTTTGGCTCAGTGGATAGAGCATCGGCCTGCAGACTCAGGGGTCCCAGGTTCGATTCCGGTCAAGGGCATGTACCTTGGTTGCGGGCACATCCCCACTGGGGGGCGTGCAGGAGGCAGCTGATCGATCTCTCTCATCGATGTTTCTGGCTCTCTATCCCTCTCCCTTCTTCTCTGTAAAAAATTAATAAAATATATTTAAAAAAAAGAAAAGAAATCCTGCTCTATTAATTACCCTCTCCTACAACTGCAATCTCCCCTCGATATAGAATTTTCCCCCCTGCCTACAAACACATTAAAATGTCATATATCTTGCTTTTAAAATCTTGAAATCTATGTCAAGCTCAAATGAATTAATTTTTGCTCTTTTCCTAGAGTTATTATATCTTGTTTCTAAACTGACACTAATCCCTGGATTCCCAGACCATACTCTATTAGTCAGACTAGAAGTCTTTGCAGGTCAAGTATTAAAGTCATGGCTCAAGTCTATCTCAGAGTAGGACTAGTGCTTATTTTCCCAGTCCCAGAACATACAGTACATACTTCAGTACTCAGCAAATCCTCATATTCATTCTCTGACCAAGGAATGAAGATTACAATAGGACTAAAAACACCACTGGACCACTCGTTTCACTTCCCTAAGGTAGTAAATCAAAGCAACTAAACATGCCTGGGGAACTGCAGAGATTAGTGACCAGATATTTGAAAGATGCCTACTACATCTTCATTTAACTCAATTATTTGGCCAGTACAAGTCAAGTGGGTTTTGGAGAATGATAATGAAGTATCACAAACTTGCCAACCATGTTTGCAGATGGAGAATTTTTACTGCAGGAAATCAGCACAGCTTTTGGTAACTAGTGGTGCAGCTAATTATCAAGCAAATGCTCTCCCACCCCCAATTCTTAAAAAAAAAAAAAAAAAAAAAAAAATCAGAGGCAAGTTGCCTCCAAAATAGAAGAAGCCCTTCACGGTCACCTAGCAATTAATGTTAACTCTCCTTCTCAGTCAAGCATACTCCAAAAGTCCCATAATTGCCAGATAGCCCATGGAGAGCTACACTGCTTTTTAACAACATTATGCTAACTGGACCTGGTGAGAAAGGAATAACAAGTTCTCTAAATACCTTAATAAAAAAATACAGATGGCAGAGGGTAAGAGTTAAATCACGTGAAAGTTCAGGGACTTGTCACATCAATGAAGCTTCTAAGGTTCCAGTGGTCTGAGGCATATAAAAATAGACCTAAAGTGAAGAGAAGTTGCTTCATTTTGCACTGCCCACTAAGAAGGGAAAAAAAGAGGCATGAAACTTGGTGGGTTTCTTCAGATTCTGGGCATAATGCTTACTAGATAACCAATAAGGCTTACAGAGGGGTCCAAGGTAAGAAAGGGTTCAAGCAGGCTGTGGTTCAAGCTGCCCTGCCACCTGGGCCTTATGACTCAGCATATCCAATGGTACTGGAAATGTCCATACCAGACAGACATCTAGCTTCCAATAGAATGATGGTGCACATTCCAGGGAGTATGGGCATGACCTCTTCTGCCAACAACTATTTTCCATTTGCAAAGCAACTACTGGTTTACTACTAGACCCTGCAGCAGAGACTGAACACATGACCATGGGACTCCGAAAGACTATGTTACCTGAAATGACTATCATGAACTGAGTACAGTATGAAGCTCTGAAGAATAAAACTGGACATGTGCAGCAGCTTTCCACTTTTAAACGGAAACAACACATCTGGACTAGGCCAAGCAGATTTATAAAGCACAAACAAACTGCATGAATGTGACTCAGAATCTAATGGGACTTGCTCCCACTGCTTCTCCACCTCTCCCTCATTCTACACCTATAGTCTCATGGAGAGTTCCCCGTGTTCAAGCAGAATAGGACAAAGCACAAGTCTGAATTATAAATAATTCTAGCACCACTGAAGTGTGACCCTGAAAGACAATGCAAGAAAATCCTACAGTGGAAAGAACATTGGGGAAAAAAACATCTGGTTGTACATTCTTTGTAGCAGTAGAGATGACCTCAAGTACACGTCTACACTGATCCACAGGCAGTTAGATACTCATGGGTTGGCTGAGTGGTCGGGGACTTGTAAAGCACAAGATTAAAACACTGAAAATTAGAAAATGGTGTGAGAAGTTAAGTATAAGAATACATTTCTTAGACTAGGGATAATAAGAAAATATTCATGTTGTTATCACATAAATGACCATCAGAGGGCACCCACTGCAGAAGGAGCCCTCAAAAATCAACTGGCAAGATCATCTATCCAGTAGATGTCACAGACACTTTCCCTGCCCACCTTGCTCAATATACAAAGCGGTCATGGTGGCAAGAATGGAGGCTGTGCATGGGTCTAATGACATGGTCTTCCTCCCACCAAGGCACTGCTGAGTGCCACCTCCCAGTAGCAGAAGATGACATTAAGCTTCTAATATGGGACTTTCCCAGAAAGGACCAGTCACTTGGTAGAAAAATAACATTAGAGAGTACATATCATACATGGGGGACAGTGATTTGTCCTTACAAGAACAGACACGTATTCTAGATTTTCCTTCCCTAACTACAATATACAATTGACCCTTAAACAACTCAGGGGTTAGGGGCACCAACCATCCACAGTCAAAAATCCATGTATCACTTAAGTCAGCCCTCTGCATCTGCAGATTTCCAGCTGCAGATGAAAAATACAGTTGACCCCTGAACATGCCAGTCCACTTATACACAGAAACCCACATGAGTGGACCCACACAGTTTAAACCTGTGTTTCAATAACCCGTACATACTTCCAATCAAGTGTATAGGGAAGTGTGGCAATGGACTCTTAAAACACACAAAATGTATTGGTTTTGTGCTATGCCCTACCATTCAGAAGCAGCTGGCATGATCAATTACTAAAGGCTCAGTTACAGCACCAACTGAAAGGCCTCTAACAGGATGCTGTCTTAAGCTAGTGGACAATATACAGGGTCACTTCTCCACAGCTCAAACAGAGCTGGGAACCAAGGGGTAAAGTGAGAGTGACTATTTTCACTATTGCACGAAAAAGGGGTTTTTGCTTCCTGTCCTTGTGACCTTGGGTTCAATGTGTTCAGAGGTCCTAGTGATCAAGGGAGAAATGCATCCACCAGGGCACATAGTCATGGTTCCATTAACCTGGAAGCTGAGACTGTCCCTTGACCACTTCAGGCTCCTTATACCACTGAACCAAGAGGCAGAGAAAGAGGTCACTGTACTGGCTGGCATGACTAATCCCAATGATCAAACAGGAATTGAGGTTCTGCTATACAATAGGACAAAAATTACATGTGGAATCCAGGACATTCACCAGATTGCTTCTAAGCTCTCACTTGACCCTCCTAGTCAATGGAAAACTGCAACAGCTCAAACACAGAACAAGCAAGGATGCAAATCCTACAAGAATGAAGGTCTAGATCAGACCAAAAGAAATGCTAGCAAAAGGAAAGGGGGAAATTGAATGGGTGGAGGAATAAGGAAACTGTGTATATCAACTTTCGCCTTGACACCAATGAGAGAAAGCAAGACTGTAGCAATTCAGTTCCACATTCTTTTACCCAGTTTTCTTTCCACGACCTAGATTAGTACAGGAACCTCTTAACTAGACTCCCTAATTCTTGTATCTTCCCTGCCCAATTCATACAACACAACACATCTAAAGTCTCCTTCCATAAGGTACAAGGTAAAGAATGATATGCAAGGAATATTGAAAAAGAAATTCCTTAAATGAGGAAATTGGACCTAATGAATCTTTAAGGATTCTAATAAATCCAAGATTCTATGATTCTTATGAAAATATGACATTTTAAAATCTATACAGCTCACCTTAAGTAAGTTGGAAAGTTCATGCCATACCTCAAAGAAAACCAACTCTTACTACAATTTTGGTCTATTTAATACAGGTTCCCCTGAGAGAGTAAATTAAGTTCTTGGGTTGTCAAGGACTTTCCTAGAATGGGAACATATCCGAAATCTATACATCTAAACTGG